TCATTTCTGTGGTTGCTCCCAGCTTTGGCCTTTGGCTAGAGATTTGATACTGTCACCCTTACTGTTCCTTCCCGGAGACACTCTCCCAACAAAAGGCCTCTTTCCTAGGATGCTCAGAGAATCAGAGAGCAGAGGAGCTTACAGGAAAAGCAAATTAAAGGAGTCACAGTTGGGTCTGCAAAGGAGCCAGAGGCACAGAAAGCCAGGTCAGTTCTGAAGGGTTTTCTGGCTCTCCTCCCAGAGGGACTCAAGATGGGAAGAAATGTCAGCCTGGTAAAGAGGACTGAGCTAGAAATTGGACCAGGAGGTCTTGGGCTCCAGCCCCATCTCCAGGCCTGCCTTGCAGTAATCTTGCATGAGAGGAGCAAACTCAGCCAACGCCACCTTCTCCTTTCCCTTCCCACAAATCTTGCTCTATATCTTTCTCCAAATTCTGCTTTTCTCTGACCCTCCTTGGGCAGGCAGACATCTTGAGTTGATAGGAGGGGCGGGGGAAGGGGAGGCGGAGGATGAAGAAAGCGACCTCTTTTGATGGGCTTCTAGAAATCACGTACAGTCCCACATCAGCACCAGCTTTAGAAGCGATCATGAGCAGCATTTGTTCCAACCCCCAGCCCCCCCTGGACCCAGAGTTTCTGCTTTTTAAGGAAGTAAGAGTCCCATCAGACTCAACCATCCTCCTTAGAAACGAGATTTTAAAAAAGATAAGACTGCCCTGTCTACAGAAATACCCGATCAGAGAAAAAGAAAAAAATCCCAGAATGGGTTTTTCCCCTAGACGTGTTAAGACCATCATCGCCATTTAATTGTTAACAGAAACTTCACACACGTGTGCAGTTTTATTTTCATGGTACACTTTCTGTGTGGATGGTAGAACTCAAGCGTGTAGATTAGGGACACGTGTACACGAGCATTTGTACTCGAGGGATGGTAAGTGCATTTGATGGCTCTGACCTCTAGGGGGTGACAAGGTGACCTTATGCATCAGAAACACAGAACCCTGTGAAGGGACCAGTGGAAAAGGCCCACTCCGGCTTCAGACACTTTTTCAAGTCCAGACCCCATGCTTACAGCTCTGTTTACTGGAAGAAGCTGGGGGTACACAGAAAGGCCTCATTTTGTATCCAAAGAACAGAAATCAAACCTTTTGGAAGGATGACCACTTTTACATAGAACTCTCATACGAGATGACAACCGATGTATGTTTGTTTGTTTTTCTCGAATTTCAGCTGTGTCTATACTAGCCAGGATGAATCTGCACAAGTTCCATTTTGGACACAACCCCTATCCTTGCTCAGGAATCCACACACAAACAGCTACGCACGGAGCAACAGTACCTAGAATGTACACAGTGTTAACATATATATGCAGGTCCCCTGATGGTTCCGTTTCTCAGATTAGTATTTATTTAGGCCTTAAACTGCAAGGGATTTCAGTGCAAGGTATTTATTTATATGACAACCCATTATTAAAGCTGCACTTTTTAGGTTTAAAGGAGATAAATTTTTAATCACCATTTAATTAACACCAACTTTCTTTTTCTTTTTTTCTTTTGTCATTAGCAATTCTATTTGCAAAGAATTCAGGGCATTTGTCATTTCCTGAGAAGGATGCGGAATATTAAATACACATCAGCAGTAGACATATCAAATAGAATAAACAATGTATGACGACCATGGATCTTTTGACTAATTAACCACTTTGGCGAAAGTCCCATTTAAATGAAATGATTTCATTTGTAAACAAGGTGTAATTTCTCTCTCTCTTTTTCTCTCTCTCCCACTCTCCAGAAAATAAGCATGAATCGGTTTGACAGATTTTGCTGCAATGGATGAATTTTAATGCTTTCATAAGAAAAACTTGGCATTGAGTTCCTCAGGCACCGTTTGAGACGGGAAGGGGGAAGGCAAGTGTAAATATGAAATCGTCATGGCACTGACTAGAATGATGCAAATGGATCTGCAGAGCAACGCAACAGTCATGAGTTGTGAAGTTCTAATCTCTCCCCTCCCATGGAGGTCTTAATGGGCAGAAAGGTCTAGAAGGGGGGTTGTTGCTAGCATGGACCCTGGACGTGTCTGGGGAGCCTGCAGGGGTCACAATGGTGGAAAGTGTTGCAGAATACCCAGTGTTCTCGGAGGGAAGCCCATTTCCTGAAGGTCTCTCTTACACAGATGATGCAAGCTGACCCTTCCTACCCAGGTCCTTTCCAAAGGGGGTAAATCACTTGGGGTTAATGAAATCTCATTATGGATGTTTAACAGCCCTGACACCCAGGGCTGGGTGGATTTTAGTTTCTTGGCATCCATGAATTGAGAATCTCAGAGCTGGGGTATGTGGTGATTCATAGTCCAGGGCCTCTGACCCAGGACCACTGTATGTGCCATCTACCAGTAGCTATGAACATTCCTGAATTCTTTCTTCCAAAAGCTCAGCTGACCTGGATGGCCTTTGGATGACTCCAAATCACCGCCTTTCACTTGGATACCCATCATCTGATCAGCGGGCTGATTTTTTCTCATTTGAAATCGTAACATGAAAGAGTCAATCAATGAGTGAAGGACAAAAAGTATGTACTTACTACGTAGCACCTAATTTCCAATTGTTTATGTTTTTTTTTTAAAAAAAAAGGAACACGTTTTTCTCCACTACATTATTTTCCAAAAGCCAGTGTGATCGGTTTCAATACTCTTTTAAGGAGATGGCTTTGGATGCATGGAGTATATCCCAGTATAACTTGCACAGTCTCTGGAGATTATGTGGCTTTTGGCAGCTCCCCCTCCCCCTCCCCTAGGACTTTGAGTCCTCCAAAGGAAGACAGAAAGCCTCTTGGGATGGGTGACCTATCACTGCTCTGGGAAGAGTTTGATTTCGTTGCGTGTTTGGACATGTCGGTCTTGCAAGGGTACAGCGGTGGTCCCAGGGGTTGGTCAGCCGTGGAATGCAAAGGGGGCGCAAAGGCAGAAGGCGTTGCGTGGAGACCCAGTCACAGCAACTCAATTTGAGATCACAAATTGGGGTGACTGTTTCAAGTCCTTTTGTGCAGGCCTCTCCCACTGCTGGGTCAGGGGACAGCAAAAAGTCAGAGAATCAAAGAAATGCAATGGCATTTTCAAGGGTAACAATGGTCAGCGCTAGGACCTCCTTTTGCATTTGGGAGAGGATGGGAAGGATGCTCGCTCCTGCTGCCCACCCCTGCGCCCCTCCCCCTCCGCGGTCACCCCACCACGGATGGTCCCATTCCCCCCACCATCTGTATAATTACAGGAGCAAACTCTACCAACAGGCCAGCTCTCTCTACAGAATGGAACTGGGCACAAGGAAAAGGAAGAAACAGAACCATTTCCACCTAGTGCTCTTGTTCCCTTTCTCCAATAATGCAAAGAGCAATTGGGCAAGAAACCAGGGAATGTCCAGGAGAATCCGTGGGAACTCAATTTCTGTCGTACTGGCTGGCCAATTCGCCCAGCTGCTTGGAAGCTGTTCATGTACTTAGAAATGTACCGATGAACAGAGCAGAATGTGTTTAACTAATGTTGTCTACTGCTTTGTGATGCTGAAATTGTACACTAGGAAATCCTGACCTGATAGTTACAGAAGGAAAAAAAAAAACTACAATTTTTGGTGGGGAGGAAGGGGATTGCCATCTTATGATATGGCAGTCTAAGAAATTTCCCCTGCATAAATATTCCCCTCTGTCTCTGAGTCTTCTTTGAAAAGAAGATAATGGGTGTCATTCATATCCTCTGTGCACAGGTTTGACTTGAGTAAGGATGGGATGATGCAGATGGCTCAGACATGACAAATGCAGGGAGGAATTCCCATCAGTCTCTGCTGGTGCCGACAAAGCAGTTTGGCTCCCATGGAGAGAGAATATTTCAGGAGAGAGAAATGACTTGTCTCGCTCGGTGTATCCACAGTGTGGAGGGTACTTGGGGGAGATGTGTGAGTGTCTCGGAATTCGAAGGTTTTTGATTTGAGGAAGGATGGAGGGGGAAAGAGAAGAGTGTCCAAGAGAGTTTTGTGACATTCAGAAAGAGAAAAACCTAAAACCATGCTAGCCTCAGGCGGCCAGATGGCCGGGTACTTCTTTATAGCTCACAGTACACATATGGCGGCTGGCACGTGTTACCACATTAACAGCTCCGGCAACAGCAACACACAGCTAATTAGACATCACCGTGGCTGTTCGGGGATAGGACGAGTTAGGGTTACTCTGGGAGGGACGGGGTAACAGATACTATACAACCCTGAGTCATCACCAAAAGTGAGGAAACGCAAAACTTACATACACAGGAGTCTTCGGGATAAAAACTACAACGGCCACCGTGTCACACAGGGAAGATCCACACTCAGAGGGCGGAGACACGGACGCGTGAGGCTATGAAGCTCCGAGCAAGACCATGGAAGCAAAGGGTGAGTGGAGACACACATCGACATCCAAAAAGGTTCTTGTAGCTCTCTGTCTGAGAGTCCCTCTGGCTTTTTTTTTTTTTTTTGTCCCAGACGTGTCCTTGGAAAAGGACTATAATGCACATCAGAAAAGTTCCACGAACACACTGAGTTTTACACTTCTTTGGGGGGGGGAGCGGAGTCGGGGGGATAGCCTGGAGTTCTTGGGGTTGGGCCTGGGCGGGGATGGAAGGCATCACAAGGAAGCTGAGAATGGTCACAAGCCACACCTCCTAACCCCTTGCACGTGTCAAGTCTTACTACGGTGCAGATGCATTCTTCATTCTTATTGTCTGTGTCAGATTAACATGCATACCATATTGCTTATTCTGTATTAGAGATAAACCATGAGCATTTCTGAATGAGGAAATTACACGGTGGACTGAATTCCATGGAATTTGGACTATAGAAAAATCATAGCATCACCACCAGCAACCGATGCATCATTATTGCCAACATACCTAGCAGGCTTGTCTGAGAGACTTGCCTATATTTATATTTCTTTTTTTTAAAATCTTTTTCTTCTTCTTCTTTTTTTTTATAATATATTTGGTTAAGGACTCACCTATCTTGTTATCGGCCATGCTCAGCACACACCCCACAAGGTCCTTGAGTGAAGATTATGGCATGGAGCCATGTGCAAAAAGAGCCAAGAAAAATAAATCAATAAATCAATACAAAAAAAAAAAAACCTCCCTAAGTCCCCGTTTCTCCCAGCAGGGCATAACTGGGCCTCCGACATTTACCCTCCACAACGCTGACCATTCCATGTTTCCCTAGAGATAAAACATTAATGGAAGCTTCTAAACGTCAGATTCAATACTAGGCATTTTCTTGTACACGCGTCTATTGCTGCAGGAATTTAAAACCCTGGGGGTAGAGTACATATTATTCTTATTTGCAGCATAAGGCATAACATGCTCGGAAATATACACGTCACTGGGGGCCCGGCTGTCCCTGGAGCAGTACGACGCGGTCGACCGCAAGGATGACCGAAGGTAGCTGTCATTCAGGGCCTGAGATGGCAGGGAGTGTTTGTACGGGTCTGACGGGCATCTCCCGATCACTAAACGCTGATCATCCCCGTACGTGTGCAGGAAAGGGTTGTCGGATGTGTGGTCCGGCAAGAGGGACTTGCTCCTCTTGCTGTCCTCCAGACCTTGGGGGAAAAGGGAGCTCTTGTTCCCCAAGAGTTTGCTGGAGGGGACGCTGAACAGGCTCCCGTACAAGTTGCCCTCCAGCAGCCGTTCTCTGTCTTTGAGGCTTATGCTCCGGGAGGGCCTGCTCGGGTCTATCTCCCTGGGTTTGTCTAGGATGTTGTCGTAGGAGTGCTGCCGGCTGATCCGCAGCTTGTTCTTCTGGAACTGGAGGGCGTTGTTCTGTGTCCAGTCCTGCCGGTAGGCCTCGTCGCGGGCGGCCGGGCTCCCGGTGTCCTGCAGCATCTGGTCCTCGTCGATGTCGTACAGGTTGCCCATGCGCAGGCAGGCATCGCACTTGAAGGGGGAGCGCATGGTGAAGTGGCCCGAGTAGGTGGGCAGGTTGGAGAGGCAGCTGCGGCAGTGGGTGGAGTTCTGCCGGTAGCGGTCGCTGCCCTCGCTGTGGGGGGACCCCTTGTCTTTCAGGGTGAAGTGCTTGGCGTACAGCTTGTACTGGTCGTTGTTGGGGGGGCCGTCTTCGCGATGCAGGGGGTTCCTGTTCACCGGCAGCGTGGCGTCGCCCTTCCGGAAATTGTCGTTGTGATCCTGGTAGGTGTCGGGGACGGTCAGGCTTTCCACGAACTGGGGAGGCTCCAGCTGGAAAGGGGGGTCCTTCTCGCCGTCGATGGTGTAGATCTTGTCCCTGGGGGAGCTGGCTTTGGTTTTCAGGAAGGTGCGTTCCACCTCGCTGCAGTCCTTGGGGTACTTGGAGGCCAGGGACCTTTTGAAGTTGTCCTTGGTCTTGTGGTTCTTATTGTTGTCGGGCTCTCTGAGGCACGCGGTCCGACTCGACGCTTCCGAGATGTCGGAGTGCGCCACCTCTTCTGGAAGGTACCTGGGGCTCTTGAGGGAGCGGGTCCTGTTCTCTACACTCACCTCATCCCTCTGGGAGACCGGGTTCTGGCTCAGAGAATCCTGGCGCAGAGACTCCATGGATTTCTTCCAGAGCTGCCGGGGCCTGGAGTTGCCCTTGGACTCCGTGCTCACGGCCACCTCCACCGTGTTGGGGTTGGACTCGTTGAGCGTCAGGGGGTGCTGTCCTTGGAACACGTAGTTATTCAGGTTGTCCTTGTGCCTGTTGGCCACAAACGTCTGGAGTTCGTTCATGTTGTCCCCAAAAATGCTCTCCTTCCCCTGAAAGGACCTGTTGTCTGCGTAGATCAGATTCCCCTTGTCGGACGCCATGTCGACGATGAGGGACCCTCTTTGGATGTAGTCCGCCGTTCGTTTGGGGGAGTCCATCCTGGAGGAGTTCATGTTGGACATGTTGGAGATGTTTTTGGCGGAGCGGAGGAGCTTGAGCATGTTGCTCTGGGATCCCGTCAGGTTGAAGTCGGGCGACTTCTTCTTCTCTTCGATGTGCACTCCGTGGATGCAGCTGTAGATGCCCTGTGAGGGAACAGCACAAAGCGTCAGCCACAGACTGAAAACCAGCCCCTACGAAGCGGAGGCACGGACATCCGGCAGGAGCCCGAGGGCAATAGATTCACTCCGATGGTCGTCCTTCAATAGATGGGACAAAGATCCAACACATCGGGGTTATCTTATTGCCCCAAGCTGGCTCATGAAAACGTTCGATTTTCCCTTCCAACACACCCAGACCAGAGTGAGTTGTGGATAAACTCAACTAGCATGAAAGGATTCATTTCAGAAATCACCCCTACCTGTATGCCAAAAGGTACGAGAGCCAAGCCGGCCAACCAAAGAGAGCTTCTGCCTGGAAAGCACTGATTTGTCTAAGAAGAGGCATGAAGTCCAAGAGGGCAATATGGAGAGAGACAGATGCACATGTAGGAGGAGCTGGGGATGATTCTTACCATCATGTGGGGTTGTTACTAACCTGAGACTGAGCAACGATGCAGTGATTTTCCTTTAAGCACATCTGGGGCATTGGAGGGTGGAAAGGGATCCCAGACGGCTAAAATGTGACCACCTTGACCTCTCTGTCTCCTTATTTTCCTTACCTTTCTTAAGAAAGTCTTGGATTTCACTAAACAGTAACTGTATTGCTGTTATCAAGGGGATGAGGCTCTTGATTCATGCCGGAGTAAAACAGGCCAAAGAACATCATCACATCTGGATTTACTGCTGCCCCCGCTTCTCCCCACCCCTACCCCGGGTCTCAGCAGTCACATCTAAAGCCAGCGAGCGGATTATGTGTGTAGGATCTGACCTGGTCCTCCCAAGACTGCCCGGAAGCCAGCTCAGGAAGGGATTTGTCAGGCAAACTGGGCAGCTTCTGCCGACGGAGGCTTTAACCCTGGGAGAGTACGCATGATTAACTGTGCATTCTGATCATGGCGGCTTAACCTGCAGAATGCTCATGGAACCGTGACCCGCTCAACTCATTTGCATGGTGGCATTTTTCTCGCAGCTTCTAAACACCCTCTCCACTTGCAGCCTTCTTGGAATTGTAAAGAAGTCAACAGCTTTGGGGTGAAGCATCCCTTTCTTCTATCCCTCGGGGACCCGGGTTTCATGGTCGAGGCTCCCAGAGGCCCACAGCACTAGTATCAAGCCTATTCCTCTCTTCCTCCCTGCAGCCGTGGCTGCTTCTGTCTCCTGTTTGGCGTCACGTGTGGCTGGTTGTTCATCCTGCCACAGGCCCTCACCTGGCTAGCTCCTCCTCCTGTTGCTGCCAGGGCTGCAGAAGAGCTGCACCTCGGATGCGGAAATCACCCACGTGCGCCAGACTTTTCACATGGCCCAGTGTCGCTTAACCCGGTGCCTCACTAACCTGCGGCCCTCCTCACCCCATTCAGTAACAGAAGGATCTCATCTCTGTCTGAGCTACAGGGTCTCTGCTCACTGTGGGTGAAGGTTCTGTGGATCGGCCTCAGTTTCCCCAGCTGTGAAGTGGGAGCGCTGAGCTGGGCGGGAGGACAAGATCAAACAATTCACAGCCGGCCCTCCATCAACCCGGCAGCGGGCTGACAAATCCTCTCGCACCAGCTGAAGCACACAGTGGCCGCGTGGTCAAAGGGGCCAGACTTAGATGTGACTCTTTCATGTGGAAGGTCTGCTCGGGAAAGCCACACTGGCCTTTGGGTTAGATCAGCAGCTCAAACTCTACCCAAGGAGCCCGATCAATCAGGAGGCTAGAGTTTCACTCTTCCCTGCACAGTTCTCTCTCTCTCTCTCTCTCTATTTCCCCCTGCTCTATTATTCATCAATTCCAGCAGGAGTTTGTGGGCTTTGGAAACCAGACGCCTTCTAGGTAGGAAGTGGATTCTGCCACATAAAACAAGAGCTGACAAATTGTTGTGGACCATTTCTTTTTCTGTTCCTTTGACGGGTACCTGACCCTTCCAACTGTTCTTAAGGTGCAAGGGCCCCACGTCTGGGTTGGTTCTGTTCAGCCTCGGCCCGATCGCTGCCCGTTGCTCTGCCTTCGCGTGGTCTTGATTGTGGCTTAGCTTGAAGCATCTTCCATCCTCCTTCCAACCTTCCCCTTGCTGGGGCTCATGGTGGAGGCAGCCACCGGCCCAGCTCCCCAGCTTCTGGCTGTGTTATGTCTCCTATTTGTCACATTTCAGGGACTGCCGATGTGGTCGGTTTTGCGGGGATGGTGAGTATTTATTTTCTTCTAAATGGAAGGGGAATATTTTGCAAAGGAAACACGCAAGTTAAAAGCATCTCACAGTCAGGAAAATGCATTTTTTCCTAAGTGGTGCTTAAAAGAAAAAAAAAAGACGAAGCCACAGCAGGGAAGGAAGGGTTCTATGTTAGACCCAGGTCTTCTGAGAGTTCCTGCCCTCTCCCTGGCTTCATGGGTCCCAGGTCTGTATGGATGTTGCGGTCCCTAGGAGTTTCTCAGGGAAGTTGAGCCCAAAGGAGGGCTACGAGCGAGAGCCTTAAGGCTATTGGCTGGAATATCAGTGAACGGAAAGGAAATCTGTGCAGACTTGGGGGAGATGTGGATTTCAAAGCCTCATGGATCAACTTGCTTGAAAAGAAACCTAAACTCTGAAGTTGACTGATGCATGCGACCCAACCCTACACGGACACATCATTTCTTCTTCTTGTGATGCTCTGCTGATAGGAAAGAGGCTTTCTGGCTGGGTGTGGTGGCACATGCATGTCATCCCAGCAACTGAGGGGGCTGAGCAGGAGGATGGACATTTTGGGATCAGCTGGACGTACATACTGAGAGCCTGTCTTAAAACGTAACAATCAGACAGACAGACAGCAAAGAGAATGTGATGTGCATGTCAGGCTGCACTTGCTTTAAAATACAAATGCTCGGGGCTGGGAAGGTGGCTCAGTGGTAGAGTGCTTGCCTTGCATGCATGAGGCCCGGGGTTCGATTCCTCAGCCCCACATCAGCAGAAAAAGCCAGAAGTGGTGCTGAGGCTCAAGTGGTAGAGTGCTAGTCTACAGTTGAAGAGCTGAAGGACAGTGCTCAGGCCCAGAGCTCAGGTCCTCAACCAACCAAAAAAAAAAAAAATGCAAATGCTATTTGGGGAAAACAAGAGCTAGTATACAAGGGTGTGTGGGGGGGATCCCTGATGCCTTCAAGGATAGAACAGTGGAGGCTGAAAGCTCCCTTCCCAGGAGCATGGCCCTTCGCTGCCTGGCCCCTCTCCACCCCTGCCCCTCCATGTGCTTGGTAAGGGATGACGGACTTAGTTCATTTCTCATAGAGATGCTCCTACCAATTTGGCATCCTCTTCCCCCAACAAGCAGAATTCACAAGTAAATGGCAACAGTGTTCATTTGCTCAAGATAATCTCAGAATCATTTGGATATAAAAAGCCTTTAGTAATTGGTTGGGAGAATTAGTTTAAAGTTGGCATAATACCTAGCTATATGCGTGTGCGCCGTTATTTTTAAGCAATCTGTGTGTTTGGATGTCATCAAGCTAATTAAGAAATATGTATTTGCACAGAACCCAAGTTTCAAGTGCAATTGAATGGCAAAAATAAATCCTTGCTAAGCTCATGTGTACCTTCAAAATCTCCAGAGTTCTTAAACTTACTAAATGTTATGATTATACAATTTTACTTTGAAGAGATTATTTAGTTTTCCCAATAAACATTAACATACCAAATACATGTTTTTACCAAGATGTTTCAAATCCTAACTTATTAAGTTCATCCAGGGTGAATATAAAAAACTACCAAGGTGGGTAAATGGAATGAATGGGTAGATGAATGGATGGATAGTTGATAGATAGATGATGGATGGTAGATAGATGATGGATAGATAGGAAATAGGTAAGTGGATGGATGGATGGATGATGGGTGGATAGAAGGATAGATAGCAGGTAGGTAGATGGGTAGACGATGAACAGATAGTGGGTAGTAGGTAATAGGTACATAGCTGGATGGATGGATGGAAAGACAGATGACAGGTACGTACATAGATGGATGAAGAGGTTCTAGATGGTTGAATGGATAGATAGGGAATGTGTAGGTAAATGACAGATGGATTGAAAGGTATAAGATCTGTGTATACACGTGTGCTCTTTTACAGGCTAAGTGATGGTATTGTTTCATGTGAGCATGGTATGTAAGTCACATACAGATCTGTCTATTGATCTGACTGTCTCAATATATCAGTCGTATGAAGTATAACAAATTGTCTTTCTCCTTTGAATTTGATGTTTGTTGCATTAGCTAGTACCACTCCATGTAGATTCAAATCCTGTCTTCACCTTACTAGCTGTGTGACCTGAGACAATTCTCTTTCTATCTTTGAATTTTGCTGTTTTCAGTCTGGGACTAATAAGAGTAACTAGAGCTCATAGCTGGTTTGTAGATTAAATGAAATAAAAATATTATGAAGCCTTTCTGTGGTGCTTAGCAAATATAAACGCTCCATTAGGGCATTCCATGATCTTTCCCATAAGTGACCAATGACGTCGTGTGTACACCGATGGTGACACGCATGCGCCCTGCAGGGGGCATGGAACAGGTCTCTGTGTTGTGTGCTGCACACGGCGTGTACTTGGGGCTGCTGCTCAGGCTGGGCTGAGCACATGTTGTGGTCTATGAGTGTGCCTGCTCTTCTGGCACTTTGCTTCTATGTTTCATTCCAGGCTCTGTGCGCACTGCACGTATTTTGTGCGTTGTTGCGGGTGTATACACGTGGCAGAGAGTTGCCTGTGGATTCTGACTTGCTTGGGTTTTCCTGGAACATTCCACACAGGAGTGTAACAGTTTTTTGGCGGGGGGGTCCGGTCGTGGGGCCTGAACTCTGGGCCTGGGCGCTGTCCCTCAGCTCTTCAGCGCAAGGCTAGCGCTCTACCACTTGAGCCGCAGCGCCACTTCCGGCTTTTTTCTTTTTGCTCATGTGGTGCTGGGGAATCAAACCCAGGGCCTTGGGCTTGCAAGGCAAGCGCTCTACCACTGAGCCACCTTCCCAGCCCCAGGAGTGTAACATTTTATGACATCATATGAGCTAGTGATGCTGGCCACATATGGGGGGCTGGGTTTGACCTACACCTTTTAAATGGAATTACTTATCTTTTTAAAAAAATTTCAGTACTGAGAATTGAACTCAGGGCATTGTACTACCACTTGAGCTACACCTTCCATCCCTTTTGGCTAGTTTTGATTTTGAGACAGAGTCTTCCTAACTTTCCCCATGCTGTCCTTGACGTTGAGATTCTGCTGCCTCTAACTCCAGAGTCCCTGGGACTATAGGTGTGCACCACCACTCAAAAGTTCACATGCGGTTTGGTGGCACATTTGCTTCTGAAAACCAAAATACCTGACAGCACTGGCCCTACATTCCCATAAGACAATACTTTGCCAGGCTTGACTCTGGCTACCTCCTCTGCGGTGTGAATATTCGTATGCGGTTTGCCACAGTCTCCAGGATTCCTTATTGCTCTCTCCAGGATTGGTTGCTATGCTTTATTTGTGCTATTTTTCTCATGCCTCTATTATTATTATTATTTTGGTCATGGGCCTGAACTCTGGGCCTGAGTGTTGTCCCTCACTTCTTCAGCTCAAGGCTAGCGCTCTACCACTTGAGCCACAGCACCACTTCTGGCCTTTTCTGCTTATGTGGTGCTGAGGAATTGAACCCAGGACCTTATGCATGCAAGGCGAGCCCTCTACCACTGAGACACCTTCCCAGCCCCTTCTCATGCCTCTAGCCTGTGGCATCCAATCCAATCACCTTTCTGGCTTTTGCAGTCCTTTGAGTTTGCAAACCCTGGCTTATGAATGCACACAGTCTAGACTCTCTTTAGATAAGCCCAAGAAAGGAGGGAGAGGAGAAAGAGAGAGAGAGGGAGGCAGAGAGAGACAGAGACAGAAACAGAGACAGACATATCCAGACCTCAGAGAGAAGTCCAAGTGCCTGGCTCTCTGGCAGCCTTGTGCTACTTTGGAAATACTGACCCTGCTGATGGAGAAGAGCAGCCCTGGGCGGTCGGAGCACACGCCCGTGAAGCAGAAGCGCAGCTTCCAATAGAAGAGGTGCTCCCAGATGAAGGTGATGAGGCTGAGGGCCATGGCCGCCGCTAGCATGTAGAACACGCCCGCCATGTTGTCGATGTCCAGCTGGCTGCTCATCACCTCGTTCTTTTCGTTGTGGCAGATGCCTGTGAGCCACAGGGTCTCCAGCTCCTCCATCTCACCTGCACAGAACACAACACCCACAGACAGTAAGGGCCAGACCGTGCGGCTTGGTGTTGCAGTGGAAACTGCTGGGCTGGGACAGGTGTGTGTGTGGCAACGCGGCAACTGTGTAACTTTAAGGCTGGTGGAGAGCTTGACTGGATCTGGAAGGCTCGCTTGAGTCATGACAGTAATGATACCAATTATGGCTACAATGAGATCAGGTTGGATTATAGATTATATATATACATATATATATATATAATTATGGCATAAACCTGGGTATAGCAATAGTGTTCTCTGTGTGTGTGTGTGTGTGTGTGTGTGTGTGTGTGCACGCGCCAGTCCTGGGGCTTAAATTCAGGTTCTGGGCTTTATTCATGAGCTGTTTTGTTCAAGGCTAGTGCTCTACCATTTGAGCCACAGCTCCACTTCTGGTTCTATTGGTGATTAATTGGAAATAAGAGTCTCATGGACTTTCCTGCCTGGGCTTGTTTTTGTACTTACATCTCCACGTCTCAGCTTCCCACAAGTAGTTAGGATTACAGGTGTGTGCTATCAGTGCCCAGCTAGCAAAAGTGCTCTGAGGTTCAACCAATATATAAAAACTTACTGGTTCACAGTAAGTTCTCAGGCATAGTAACATTTGATGCTATTTATTTAGGAAATACCTGGCAGCATGCTGGCACGTGATAAACTGTATAATATATCCAGCCAGAACGGCTCCAAAAAGTCACCTGCAAAGCAGCATACTTAAGGCACAAAATCTTAATTGGGGAAAGAAAGACATCTTTTGCTCTAAATGTTCCCTGGAAAGCTAAAACACCTCTCGCTTCAATTGGGTGATTAAAGCAGGTGGGTTTCTCAATGGGAAAAAGCAGATTTGCGTGACACTACGTTGTCTTGCTTTTGTGTTCATTTTTATCTGGCCTCTATTTAGGCGGAAATTCTTTGATTTAAAAGTCTAGTTCTTATGCCAACTGTCTACAATCAGAAAACTATGGCACTTTGACTATGATTTGGCCTTTAAAAAATTATCTTCTGCTTGCCAGGTGCGGTGGCTCATCTCTGTTAAGTTCAGCTATTTTGGTGGGAAATTTCATGGTGTGAAGCCATCCCCAGTAAGAAGGTAGAAATACCCCTGTCTCAACTTAAAAGCTGGGTGTGGCGGTTCATGCCTGTCTTCCCAGCTACTCTGGATGTATAAAGTAAGAGGATCTTAATCCAGGTCAGCCTGGACAAGAAAAGCAAGACCTCTCCTTCCCCAGAATCATACTGCCTTCCCAGATTGTCCTCATTCACTGAATGATATGCATTTGCAGTTCCTCCGTGTCGTTTCCTGGACCTCTAGATCATCACGTTTCATCACAGAATAGTATCTCATGGTTTGGATGCACATTTTGTTTATCTCTTCAGCTACTGAATTGACATCTTGGTTGCATCCAAGTTTGGGTAATGATGAATAAAGCTTCTATAAACATTGATGGGCAATGGACATCTTGTCAACCTATTTAGGTAAATACCTGGAAGTGTTATCTCTGGATCGAATGGTGAGACTCTGTTTATTTGGCTTTACAGGAAACCACCCAACTGTATACCAAACTGGTTGTACCATTGCATTCTGCCCAGCAATGAATGAGAGCTCCTCTTGCTCTGCCATTTTCCCCCAGCATGCTCGTTGCTGTAACTGCTTGGGATTAATTTTTTTGACACTTTAATAGGAGTTTTGTGCTGACTGTTTTAATTAGGAATTCCCTAAAGACTTACGCAAACCATTTTTCACCAAACTTTTTTGTTTCATATATTGTGGACTAGCTCATTAGTAAGCTAACCTCTAGGTTATGGATCTTGTTTTAATATTTATTTTGCATCCTTTTATTTCTTTGGGCTACAGTTGAGGATTTCCCCATAGATCTATTTTCTAGTTCACTTATTCTTTCATTGGTAACATCTAGCTTTATGTTTTAATTGTAATCTATTTTATATTTTAACCAGTTCTTTTTCAGTTCTGCATATTCTTTTTTCTTAAATCAGAATGTCCTGCTCTTTCATGATGACTTCAAAATCTTCTATACATTTAATGATTTCAAACTTATAATCTTGCAGATTAACGCTTGGGCTTCTCATTCTTCTGTTCTCTGCCTTCTGACTCGTGTTGGATTACTTCCTTGGGGATTTTTACCTTTCCATCCCGAGCCTAATCCTTTGCAGACCTGTTCTCCCTTAAACACGATAAGCACCCCCAAGAACACTGGGGTATAGAAACATTCCTAGGTTTGTTTCAACCACAACCTCAGAGGATCACAGTGTACTGGGTTTTGTATAAAAATGTAATGTGACTACTGCATCGTTTAAGTAATGTACATCTGTACCCCTAAATTCCTTCAGATTCCAATTTCTCACCCAGAGCCTCACAGATGGCAAGCTGCCTGCATTTTCCTGACTTTGATGGACAGAACATTTTTTCCTAGCTTCCTTTTCATACACTAAATGACTCATGAAAGGTCTCGGATTTTGTTCATCAAAGGGGGAGAAGTAGACGTATATTTTCTCTCATACATATTTTATGAGAGGGGAAAAAAGAGACAGGAAATCTCTATCCTCCCCCCACTGAAGTTCTTCACTCACAAAGAAGATGGTGGTGAATCATTACTTGAGGTAATGATGGGAAGGGATATCTTGACTCAACTTCTTTCCTTCCAACTGCCTCCAACACTTCCACACACTCACAAAGGTCACGGTAGACGCGATTCTTATTACCTCATTATCCACTCAACACCACCATAAACTAGCCAAGTGGCCCATCACGTACCTAAAGGCTTACATAACTGCTTCCTGCCCTTCTGAAGCCATGGGGGCCGTGTATTTCCAAATACAATTGCTGTGGGCTTCTCCCTTGCTGTGGAGGTTATGAGCCCTCAAAAAAACAACAAAAAAAGTCTCTTTCTGATGACTCATCAAATTCTCTTTGGTATTGTTCCCCAAAGAGCCATATTTGGCTAAAAGAAACATCACTCTGATTCTTTTCAGGATGTAAATATCAAGATTTGTCCTTTGCCCTTTGCCCAAACAGTACTTTTTTCATGTTTTCTTTCTTCCTTTCTCTCTCCCTTTCTTTCCTTCTTCCTTCCTTTCTTTCTGTTGCTTTCTCTCTTTTCCTTCCTTCCTTCCTTCCTTCCTTCCTTCCTTCCTTCCTTCCTTCCTTCCTTCCTTCCTTTTTTCTTGCTTGCTTGCTTTCAAGTAAAGCCAACTTAGTAAACCAGACTCAGACTCAAAAGAAGAACAAATTCACATTTCTCAGTACCAATTACAGCCTGCTCCAATCATTTTGCAGTCAGTCATTTCCTGCCTTGTGGCCCTCTTCAACTAGTATACTGAACTACAGTTCAAATACTTTCTTATTTCGTTTTTTAATTTACTCAAGTATATTGTAATCTCCTTGAGGGAGCTTGGGAACCGTGTTTTATGATTTCGGTATTTCTCGTGGCTTACAGCACATAGCTCACATCGAGCTTGGATTTTCCATTCCTGTTTTGTTCCTCCTATCTCCAGACTTAAATGGGGCGTGGGCAGGACTGTACACGTATTGAGATCTACTCTGTGTAGTCTTTTTCTTTTTCTTCTGGCTTTATAAACAAAGGATATATAGAGCAAAGGAGGGATTTGTAGTGGCCAAGAGCGTAAAGCTGAGAAGCACAGTATGTTTTTAGTCCTGGTGAGGGATTAAGCATTATTTTCCCAGGAAGTGGTTCTCGCCTGCTATCAGTTTTGTCCCTTACAAAGAGGTCACAGTCATGGTCAGAGTTATCCCAGCGCTGGAAAATGGGACAATCAAATCACTTGCCTGACGTGCACACACTCTTGCTGCTTTCCCGGAGCAGGTGCAGCCACGGGTTTTCAGCTTTGTCGACTACATCACATGACTCCCCCCTCCGCCCTCACGCCCCCCACGGCGCTCAAAACCCTGCCCTCTGTCTGCTCCTCGGCTAACAAGGAGCTTATGATTGTTTGCAGTACTCTTCCGCACCCACGGAAAGTTACACCTATTTCAAAAATTCTTCCTCGATTGGTCTTCTAGGGGGAGGTTATTGCTAGCCACAGGTCTCTCTGCCAACTCCGTGTCCTGTGCCATCCCAAGGAAGACTTGGAATTCAGGACACAGAGCTCTCTTGCTTCCTGACGCTGGCAGCATCAGAAGGCAGCATGATGGGATTTTAAGAGTAAAGACTTGGAAAGATACAAGGTCAAAAGGGGAGCTTGCTCTGGGGAGGGTAATGGAAGCAGTGTAGTGTGCACACGTGCGTGCATGTGTGTGTGTGTGTGTGTGTGAGAGAGAGAGAGAGAGAGAGAGAGAGAGAATTGCTTCCACAGGCCACGTGGGTGACAGGAAGCACATGGCGGTCACACAAAAGGTAGCGGAAAGCCACGGCAGTACAGGCTGGCCCCGAAGGAGGTGGATTTCTTACATCATCCATCCACTCATTTTCACAAAGTACAAGCTATGGGGCTTCAAATGTGCAAAACCAGCAACGCATGAAGATTCAATTCGTTACGTCTAGTAAATGACAAGCAAAGATGTTTCTGGTAGAAAACTCCAGAACAAGCACATTAAATCATCTGATGATAAGATCTGATGAATCACAAGGAGGCCGTGCGGTCAGGCATCGAGTCAGGCTGCCTGGATCCAACTTCTGCCACTTAACTCGAATCCAGGTCTCCTAATCCTCTGTCCATCTACTCTTGTATATAGTTTTTTTTATTTAACACACATATCAAAACTACTATGCTCAGGCAAAGTGGCAGGGCTTTGAAAAATTAACACTCATATCAACTTAATGTGGCTGGTCCCATTACCACAGCCACTTGCAGATGAAGATGCTAAGACAGGGAGGTAAAAGCCCCTGCTCATTTTCTCTGAACTCCCATTTTCACAACCACCAAGTGGGAGTCCAGCAGCCTTTACCTCGTTGGAGATTTGTTAGCACTAAAGGATGCTGCGTGCATACTGTGTCTGCCACAC